TTTCGGCAATTAGGGAGCTCCTATTTGTCATGGCCCATCCACATGTCGATGACTTGGAAAACTTTCCGGTGGTCATGCATTCATTGTCTGGCCAGTGTTCGTCTTGATTTGCCGTTGCCATCGTAGTTGTGACATCGAAACTTTCGATTCGAGGCCATTACGCAGTCGTTTGCAGATGCTTACCTTTAAATTTCCATCTATGTTAGGCAACTGTCTGTTTCAATTCCTTTGTCACATCGCTGTCAATTATCGGGGCGACACAGCAGGACTTTATAAGCTGCCACTTCGGAGAGTTCCCAGGTCCTGCTTGGGGAGACACCACCAGGCCATGGGCGACGGATGTATTCATGCAGCAGCCTGGCCAAAGTGACATTTATTGGCTGTCAGGAAGTCCCACAGTCCGTCACTCAGTTAGTCAGTCGGCAGCCTTCAGACGACAGTCGACAGTTGATAGTCGACAGTCGGCGGGGAGAGTGAAGAGCTGGAAAAGAGCTGGAATAGGTCACTGGGAAAACACTTTGTCAGCCTTCTGCTTTTCGGGCAATGAATTGATGTGTCCTGCATGCGAATTATGAAGCTCCCACAGGAGCTGTGAGTGTGTGCTGCATAGTTAAGGGCTAAACTGTCTGCAGCTGAACTCGTTTCACATTGGAATCGATTTCATTGACTTGTTTCTTAAGGAAAGAAACTAAAATACATATTTACCACAAAGCGTTATTTTTTGTTTGTAAACCTTCTTCTAGATCAACATCTTCAGCTGCATAGATTTAACATGTTTTCATGGGACTTATTCGCATGGCTTTACTATTTTCTAGTGAATTGCCAATTGTTTTACTTTAGAATTTAAACAAATATATGCCACGTTCTCTTTGTATTAAAGCCCGTTTGATTCTACCCTTTGGGAACCATGCCTCGCAATCGTTGACCGCGGCTTCCTGACACCAAATGGAGGAGGAGCATCAGCAGGAGCTGGCCGAACGATGGCAGCTAAGATGGAAACACCAGGCGGCGGTCCGTCATTCTTATGCAAGCAAACTGAACTGACAGGAGGCCAGCGAGTGGAGGGAGCCTGCTGGCGATGCGAATTCGGCGCGGCATTAGGCAATTTTACCCGCCAGCTGGCGTCGACGATCCATCATGGCCGCCAGGCTATGGCAAACAATGTCATTAGCTGCACTTCACCCGAAGCACACGAAAATAGCGGCACACACGCACTCCCAACACGTGCCAGGACCTACACAGACCACAATTAAGATAATGCAAAGTCAACAAGGCAATGCTCTTCAGAGTGATCGAGTGGCGAGGCAGTCGAGTTGAAACACTGGCAGAAATTAAGCTTATTGTTAAATCAAATAAAATACTAATAAAATAAAATAAATAAATATTAAACGAAAAACATTTTAATGTATTTTTGGTGAGAGTTTATTGAATTTATCAAAACGGCTCTTAAATTTGTATTTAACTTTAATCTTTGTAATCTGTATTTTATTTTTAAACCATAAATTTAAAGGGTATTTCTGCAAGTGGTTAAGCTTAAATGCTAATGTCGTTGAACTGTCGCTGATTCATGTCTTCAACAAGTTTATTGGCAACGTGGCGTATGATTAATGTGCAAGCAAATTGCCGACTGAGACAAAGTGAAGTGTGTGTACCACTCAGACGCTAGCTAACCTTTAAGTTAAGACTTTCTGTATAGCTAATTTGCCTTTTTTTCAGACAAACCTTTGTTTTAATTGACTTTCTCATGCTTGAAATTAACTTAACTTAACGTAAGAGGATTCCTTGAACCTACTTTAAAGGCTAGTGACTAGCGCACTAATATATAAGTCTTAAGTCTGTAGCGTTAGAAGGACCAATAAAATCAAATTAAATCAAAAAGACAGTATGGAACGATTGATTTAAATACGTAAACTGAGGCTGGTTCAGGTTAGTCTCATTCAGGTAACACACAACCGCCTGGAAGGCGTTGGGCGGTGATTGGAGGAGTGCACTGTGTGCACATGGCAATGGCAGAACTTCGATTTGCTGCGACAAGCGAATGCAAACAAACAAGCAATAAGGCACAGCGAAATTGTCGCCTTAACTTAGTTTATAATGCCACTTGGATGAGTTTGCTTGGCGCAAATGCTGAAATGGAAACGAAGGTTCCTGGTATATCCTTTCATTTATGCTCTCACACGTATGGTCCTTTCAGAGAGTGCAACGAAATAATACGCCAAGCTGAGTAGCACACCAGACAGACGTGTGTGCCGGAGCAGGGATTTGCAAATCGCTCGCTGGAAAAGAAAAAGAAGTCTGCCAGCTGGCGGTGAAAGAACTGTGGAACCGGGGCAAAGGCAAATACCAGGCGACACGTGAGACAGCCCCAGTTCCATGCCCTTTTTGGCGTGCAATTTGCCATTTATTCAATTTATATATTCACACCATTGTGTAATGCGAGAATCGCGACAATGCGATGGCAAAACACACACTCGCATAGAAATATCTGAGAAGGAATATGCGAGCCGGGCTCCTCTGATGGCATAATAAGCCAAGGCTAGCGTATTCAAATAAAATTGAACGAAAATCAACATATCGGAAAATGAAATAAATATTTTTATTATTATGTAAATAGCACAATGGCATGAAATACAATTATATTTAATTCGTATGCAATAATCGAAGGGAATAGGAAAAAGGTATTTTCACAGCAGGCCTGCAATTATGGTATTGTTTTTGAAATAAGTTGCGGAAATGAATTGTCAAGGGGCTTGACATGAAAATAAATATTTGTGATTCTTGGTAAATATGGTGGCTTTGCATGAAACTCAAACTGAATGGCACAGTATTGATACAAAGCGATAACTGAGGCATGTGGGCTTCAGTGCATTGAAGGTTATCCTGCACACAAAATTCACAGGTCACACGGCAATTATTTAGCCTGTCAGTATACATACATTTATGCATTTTGGCGTGTATTTACATTATGCATTCCGTGTTTATTTATGATATTTATCGAACAATGAGCGCAATGTTTTAATCCATTAAAGCGTTGGAGCACAAAGTCCTCATGGAATTAATCATTTCTGTTTTCGCCGCTGTTTGACTTTGGCGCGCACATGATAATGCCAACTAAAATTTAATATTAATTCAATATAAATTCATTATATGATTAATTTTTATTATTTCCATTGTTAATCGAACCACGGCAGCGTGCAAATGCGCTTAATGAGCTTTAAGCGGAAAAAATAAATAAAAACGGAATGTGAACTGCAAGCAAACTCTCGCTCCGGCGGACGCAGAATGCATAAAGTTTGTGAAAACCAACAAATGGCACAAAACTCGCAGCTCTAGCCAAGTTTTTCGGGGCTCATAAAATATGTACACTCGCCGCTCGACCACTCATCGAAGTCGAAGACTGCACGCCACTCTGCGAGCTTGCTTTCTTAATTAAAAATTTCATTTAACCAGCAAACAATGAAAAACGGGTGCGGGCAAGCTAATGAAATGGAAAATGCAAGGACGAGAAATAATTACTCATGCGTATAAGCCAAAAGCAAATTGCCAACTTTATTTTGAGAAAAAAAAAAACAAGGATTTTAAAGATGCCGCAACAATAAGTCTGACTTGAGTTTCAAGAAGTTTTTAAAGATTTCTTAAAGTGGCAAAGTCCTTTCTACAGCTCTTTCTCGCCTATCAGCTTCTTATTAAAATATGCCCCTTAATGGGGATTATGCATTAAGACATTAGGCTTTACTTTCAATTCAAATATATTGAAATGAGGAATCTCCATTATATCTGTATAGCTTCAATTTATTTACTAAAGTAGGTGAAGTTGTATAATGTTAACTTGGTACTTGAAAGCCTGCATATTTTTCAATGGAATTTCTACCGGGACTTTCATTAAAACTCCTTTTGTGGCCACAGCTCTACGGGATATATTTTAATGTATTTCCCCCTTTTTTTTTTTTGGTTGCACATTAATGTGCATTAATATTATTAAAATAAAACTAAGCTACAATGGGAGGGCGCTAGCCTGGAGCACTGACCCCATTCGTCTAGCCGGGGGAGTTGGCGAAACAGAGAGTCCTCCTCGCATCCTGTCGCCTCACTTGATGGAAGCCCTCTGTTGATTTGCGACGCCTTTTGCCTCCTGCCTTTCCCTTTATGCGCTCCTCCCATTTGTTTGCATTTGCGTTGACACTCACTTCATTTAGCAGCCCACAGCGGCTGCAACTGCAGCACAAAGCCAGCAGCAGCAGCAACTTCTGCAACACCAGCAGCAACAGCATAAACTGCAGCAAGTGATGAACGTGAGTGCAAGTGCAATCCGCCGGCGGCAGCAGGTTAAGGACCTTCTTTTGAACCTTAAAATGTTTGCTGTTGGACATGTGGGTGACAGCCTCGAGTGAGGAGTCGCTCTATTGATACCCTGGAGCAGGGTTTTTTAAGTTTCAGTCTGAAAATATTTGTATAAATCTTTTGGCTTAATTTTACATTATTTTTAAATAATTAAATTTAAATAAATTTGTATTTAGACTACTTTAAATGTACACAAAAAAAGAGAAGGCTTTAAAATAAAATTATAAGTTCTAAAAACAAAATGACTAAGAGGAAATGTTTATTTCTTGTTCAGGCAAAATCGTTGTGCAAGTGCCTATCGTCACTTCGATATACTCTTGAACTCTAGCATACTTACACCCTCGACGATCCTCCTACTTATGACTTACATATTTATTTTGCCTTCCCCAACTCTGGACCCCTTGAAGCCCGCCTCGTACCATCTCATCGCTATTTGTGTTTGTGTTTGCTTTGTGGTTTTGCCATCGCATCCAGACCATGGGAAGCTTTTTAATCTTAAGCGCCTTCCATTTGCCACAATTGTCCAGCAGGCTGTGAGCCAACTGCCCTCGCCTGCATCTTGCCTCGAGTCAGCTGTACAAATATATACATATATATAATCGCTTTACCCTTTACCGCAGTCCACCTGGCGACTTATGGCCGGCTTATGTGCTCGCAAACCAATTAAAATGGCCAATGGAATTGTAAGTCCCGAGACACGAAGGCAATGGCAGCAAATTAATTTCAAAGGATTACGACCGGGCCTGGAATTTTATTTAGTTGATTTCGCTGGGATATTCGGTCGTGGCAGGTTAATCAAGGCCTCCAAAATTACATTTATTGAAATAATGTAGAAATGTAGAAAATTCAGGATTAAAAGGGTTGAGCAATGTCTTGATTGTTAGTTTCCATGCTCCTGCGCTCTGCCAGCCCTATTAACAGCACCTCTCATTGCGATAGCCGCCGCTTCAAAACGAACCCGACGATACTTTTCAAGGCTCTGCTCCGGGTTTAGATCAGTAAACAAAATTTCATCGTCGACGATGCCCTCATCCTCATCAGTCTCGGAAACTTGCTCAAAAATGTCTCGCTTGCTTTCGATAAGGTTTATCAATCGTCGAATGATGTGCAGTTCCCTGAGGAATTTCTTTAGCAGGTAAAGTATGAATACGGCAAACAAACCGAAGAGGAAACCTCGCCATAGAGTTAGCATCGTGACAAGATTTTTTAAGGATTTTCTTTAGGACGATTTCGATAGGAAAAACTGAATTTAAAGCAGTTATGACCAGCTTCGATGGTTACGTTGTCGAAACTGAAACTTTATATTGTTATATTGTTAAAGGAAAAGCTATGCCTGCTGTTTCAAGACTTTGGTGAGTATATTATTTGCCATAATAAGCAAAGACTTACTAGAAAATACAATAGATATTTGAGAAAATCAAATAACTGCCAATAAGAGGATTTTATTTACTAGCAAGAGTAAAGAAAATGTGTTTTTTTATTGTGTACATGAAAATGCAAAATTATAAAAAAAATGAAACAAAGTCAAAGGACAGGGAAGCGTGCATTGTTCACTTCGGGAAAGAACACAGACTTTGCGGGGCTGCGCCTGACCGGCTCTCAAGGGTTCACAAAGGCTCTTAACCCGCTGCTTGAGGCTGTGGCCAAATCCACACCCAGGCTAAGGCTGTGTGTGTGTGTGAAAAAGTGGCATGAAAATAAATTAAAAATGCGTTATACTCGCACCCACACACAGCCGCACATAAAGCAACTTGGACACTTATCCTGGTGGCCGCATACACAGACATATTAAGAAACGTGACTTGCCTGTCCCGAGACAGCCGCACACACTCACTCGCCCGAACATATAAATTTAGCATGTTATGAAAAATGTATGCGCCCAGACGGGAGACGGGAGAAGGACAAGGAGTCGAGTCGAGTCGGAGGATGTCGTGCTGGCTTTGTCCGACCGGCACGTAGCCTGCCACGCCCAGTCTCCCTCCCTGCTTTTAATGACAAAAGTTATGACGACAAATGACTCGGTTGACTTTCACTACGAAATCAGAGCCGGAGCTGAGTCTCGGGTCCACAATGGGACCATGAATCACTTCCCGCTGACTTGACGCGCTCCCAGAATTCACTTTTGCCATTTGGCCGCCTTGATTTGTAGTCGCTTTTAAGCGCTCTCTTCATTTATCATTATGCAAATTATAAATTAATTTTTAACGAATCGCGGATGGGCCACAATGCTGCAGATAATAATGTAAATGCTTTAATGCCTCGCTGATAATTATGCAAGTCTTGCTGCATCGGCGGAAAATTCACGCTCGACCGCAGCCACTGTCGCGGCGCGCAAATTGAATTTGTTAATCAACTGCATTTAGACTTAATTGAAACTGCGGATAGAACAAAAAAACACGCACAAATGAGGCAATTTAATATTAAATTTAATGAATTAATGCAAAGCCTGTATGGCGATTATGACACAGTTCTTCTGGGATTTATAACCTATAGTTTAAAGTCAACATATAGCTTAGCCCCTAATACAATTATAATTCTATCATGGCTTAGTCAACATAAAACATTTTAAAAATTGTAGACAAATTATAAACCGTGTGCTTATTAAGTTATTACTTAAATTGGTGTTCTTTTATCAAATTAGAATTACATCAGTGATTCCCTTTCAACTCTCGATAATTGTAAGTGAATTAGATTTCCGACCAAAGATTTCAGAAAATTAAATTTAATCCAGAGCAGTTCACACAGGTAATTAAATCTAATATTGAGCTGCAGGCGCAGAACTCACTTACCTTTGAAGCTGTCAAGTAAACATGAAACGTACAATTGCATTACAGATTGCTGGCTGTATAATATTACGCCTTTTGCTGTCCGGATATCAGTCCAACTCGACCTGAATCTTGCATCACATCAAAATCGACCTAATAATTATTACAAAACTGAATACGGAGACTCACACACACACACTGGGCTAAATGGCTCGGGGCTGCTGTTAGTGTCACAAGCTTGTCTCGAATTTATGTTTTCATTTATAGGCAATAACGGCAAATACCCGAACACCCACACTACTGCAAACACATTATTTACTGTGCCGTGCCACTGCCTTGGGCGACCATGTGCCACAAAATGCGTTAATTCAATTTTATTACGCATACGCAGTGTGTGTCGGGCACAAAAAGACATGTGCACTGAGGCTGCTTTCGGAGTGTGTGGTGTGCCTTTGAAGTCGAACTGAGTGAGTGTGTGTGCTGGCTAATATCTGCATTGCGACAGATTGAAGTGTGTGTTTAGCACGGGTGTGTGTTGATTTACTCACTGGCCTCACTTTCCAGAGCAGCAATTAATTAGTATGTTCTTGTTTAACTATAGTATCTATCTATGGGAACCTATTTGGGAAGAGATAGAAAGAAGGGTCAATGCATAATTTTTTGCTCTGCAATCATAATTAAAACATTTAATAGGTTTCTCTAATTAAGTTTATACTTCAATAGGCACTTTAGCAATATTAGAATTTATACCTCATCTTCCTTACTTCTTTTTAACTCCAAAAGGATAAAACTTTTGCACAACTAACAGAACTAATTTATCATTTCTCCTAGCGCCTGTGCGCACCTAGAAATATTTCTAAAGAAACCACCGCCTACGTTGTATTTCCACCTTTTTTAATATTTTATGCTCTTTATAGGTGCAATGTGGGTTGCATCTGATGGCGTTGCCACTTTTGCCTTTGTGCAATTGCTTTTTGCGGATATTGTTGTTAGTTTTACTTTTGAGATCCGTGTTGGTTGCGCGCCCTGTTTGTTTGTGCATTGTGTGATGGCGCTTTTGTTTTACACGGCCGGCATTGAGCTCCTGGTTTTTGCAGGCTCCTCCGGCTGCCGTGTCCTATTTGTATCCCGATGTCGGCCGCACACACACACACACACTATCTACCTACATTCAGTCGCATTTATGTCTATTGGCGCGCGTCCATTTCCATTTCATTTCCGTTATTGCAAAACTTTTCGTATTAAATATATTTTTCTCTCAACATTTGTTTCATTTCGAAGCCCTTTGCAGTTGTTGTTGCTGGTTTTTGCACTTTGGCAAAGTTGTTTGTTGCTGTTATTTCTGGTACTTTATGCGCCGTGGCCATTATTGCAGTTGTTTCCTTTATTGTACAAGTACAAGCATAAAAATCGCCGTATTTCCATATAAATATTTTGCGCACTCGACTCGCCTTCGCCTCATTTATTGTGGCCTACTTACGGACGAGTGAGCTCGGGCCAGCGGCGAACAAATTGACATGCAATTAAATGTAAGCCACAAGCATTTATTATAATTGTTTTGGCCCCCCACCGTCTCCGTCATTGTCCCATTTCCAGCTGCCCAGCTTCCCATTTTCCGAGGCCCCTCTGGCCAAATGTTGATGCTGATTAGGCAGCTACAAACCAACATTGTTGTCGTCCTCTGGCAGTTGCAATTAGCATTTTGCGCTGTAATAAATATAGTAAAATTAACCACAATACACCAAACAAAATTGTTGACCGCATTGTCCCCATTAATTAAATTTGCAAAAAGTCAGCCCAAAAGCTTTTGCACTATTTGAATGACTTTATATTTTGAAAATATATTTATGGCTGGTTTTTAACTTATCTACCATATGAATATAAATCCTTTACTTAAAGGCAAGATACCTGAATTTTCCCTGATTTTTCAGATACGTTTTGCAGATACCGATACTATCCATAAACTTATGTTGTATTTTTAATGAATGCAAATATTTTTCCATTTCCAGTATATGGTTGACCCATTTTTTCAATATCTAACATCAGTTTGTTTATTTTACAAAATTAAGCGCATCGTGTTTTTTTTTTTGCATATTTTATGGGTCATAGCATTCACAATCCACCAGTGACCGCAAATTTTTAGCGCATTTGAATTAATGACACCGAATGCCAGCAAAAAATGTTTTACCGCAAATCAGGTTAGTTTTCTCCTTCCTGCCGTTCTGCTCATCTAAAAAATATTTTCATTTTGAACAAATAATGAATGTTTAAACTGCTAATTTCCGTTTTTATTTTCTCGTTTAACTCAACAGCAAGCAATTGTCATTAGCTACTGGCATATATTATTGTGTGGAACCTCTAGGAGAGCACTGCATCGCTGAACCAGAATGACATGCGGTCTCCTTCAGACAGTTTCTGAGGAATCGTAGTCGAGTGGTTGCGAACCACCGAATTGTAGCGCCGATAGTTCTCATTGCCAGAGTTCAAGCGAAATGCTAGATCTGCGGCCTGCTCGGTCAAGGGTTTCCCATAGGACAAGGAGCTCTCGGATACCGGGTAGTTGCGGTCTTCCTTTACAGTTGTCTTCGACTTCGGGGCAACTACGGAGGTGTTCTTGTCAGCTGGCTCACTAGATTTTAAGGTATGCTGAGAGTCTGACTCAGATTTATCTGTTGTTTCTGATTGCTCAGAGGAAGAGCTTCCAGTGGATGTCTCGGATACTACTGATTTGGTAGACTTCGATTTGATGGAGGTGAAGGACATTTTGGCAGGCTCGAAGGGTTTCGGTGACTTCGCGTCAAGTTCGTTTGATATTTTGGAGGCCTTGGCCGCAATTTCCACTCTCGATGATTTGCGTTGCTTGGTTGCCACACTCAAGCCCGATGTGGTTCTTTTGGCGTTTCCCGCTCCGCTTGCCTGACGATTAGACCTTACCGGCAGCAAAGTTCGAATTGAGGCCTTCGATTCCTTCTTTTTTGCCTTTAGGTCATGCTTAACATTCAGTTTCACGTCCGGGTCAATGCGATCTGTTTCATGAATTGCGGCTGCCTGCTGCTTGGCCACTGCCATCTCATTCTTGATGGCCTTTGAAATGGCCACCTCGCCGTGTTTGGACTTTGCCAACTTGAGAGTATCTTTGGATGATGATCTCAGAGCAACCTGCTCCTTGGCAGCCTTTACATATTCCGGCTTGGCCACAAAAACCGGAGGCGGGTACGTAACACTGGTGGGGATTTGGAACTCGGAGGGGCCTCCGTTGTTGGCCGGTCCCACGTTAAAGGGATTGAAGGGCTCCACGTCGTAGTGATCGGGAAACATGTTGTCCTGTTCAAATGGCAATTGCCTGGGGGTAAGCATTTTATGATCTAGTTTGTGTCTTGAAGCTCTGACGTGTTTTGATAACTTACTTGGTTGAGTTATTTATTTTTTTTTTGTTTTTTATTTTTTGGGCCTAGACTGTTTATCTGCCAAATGGGATTTTCTTAGTTTTTGTCTGACTTTTTGGTAAAACAATTCCAATGCCAAGTGACATAAAAGTCTAAATGTACTAGTAACTCGCTTTAAGGGAGCAAAATTTGTGCTTAGCTATTAATAAGCTTTGAGAGAATTGATTCCTACTTAGCGGTAAAATATATTTCCCATGAAAAGGGGTTTCCCTAATGAAGTCGACATGACTTTCCTTGTATGTTATTATCGCAAATCTCTTACTAACTACAGTTTTAACTTTGCTTGCTTCCTTTTGTCTATGAGGTGTCTCACTGTAGACTGACTACTTCAGCACTTGCTTTTAATTAAAAAGGCCCCTTTCCACATTGCATTTTCATGTTACTCTTCATACAAAGTAGGTACGTGCTGATAAGCCAAAATATCCTTTCACAGTCTCATACGCAAAACAATAGCTTATCTACTTCCTCTTCAGACCTTGCATGCCATAATTAAATGAGCTCTGAAGGAGCCCCTCACAGAGGGCTAGAGCATTTGCTGTCAGTGGCTTATTTTAGACCTAAGTTTAGTTTTTGGACAAGAGTTTCGATCAACTTTTCGGTGTTTTGCCAGAAAATTTAGTGTTGAAATTCACATAAAAAAAGGCCAACATGTACAGATCGACAGTTAATCAACAGGAAGTGCGGGGTCAGGGATCGCCTGCAGTGCCACAGAATGGCCCTTTCGTGTATGGCAGCGGGATCGTCTTCAGTGGTAATGTGTATCCCATGTTGATTGACGGCGTGCCCGTGCAGCCGCCCGCGGGAGCTCATCAGGCGGCGGCACAGCAACGCATGCAGATGGAGCAGAGGCTACAGGGCTCTCATCCCAATCCCACACAGACCTCTCCTGAGTCGCTGCCGTCCCAGAGGGCCTATCAGCGAATTGACGCCGCAGAAGGGACATCATACATAGCCAAGCAGACACAGCCGCAGAATCATAGGGCCTTCGGCAGATTTCCTGGCGCTGCTGCTCCTGCTGCTGCTCCTACCATGACCCAGCAGCAGCCGCTGTACAACAACCATGCCGTGATACAGCGTCAGCAGCAACTACGGCAGGAGCAACAGCTGGCGGCAATGGCCGGATCCTACGGCTCCTGCAACTTCAACTACAACCAGCAACCGAGTGCTGGCGGCGACTTTTTTGGAAGCTGGACCGGCTATTCCATGATGCAGCCCTCGGAGGCCAACAAACCATTCCAATTAGGCTGAAGTTCCTGCAACTGAAGCAATTGAAATTGCATTATTCCGATCGCTGTCCGTCCCGAATTAGCTTCACGCATTAAATCGGAGTTGCAGTATCACATCAGGCGAAAAAGGGCTCCGTTGTTTGGCGCTGAAACCCTTTGGGGCCGGAAAATGCAGCTTAAGTGGAAATTTTGTTCCTTTGCTTGGGGGAAAACGATGCCATAATTTGCCCTACCCATCTGCCCTCCGTTTTCGCACTTCATCGAGCTTTGAGGCAGCTGCCCTTCAGTGGGAGGAGCTGTCGCCGTTCCGGAGGGTTAGTCTCGTCATTTAGTGGTGAATTTCCGTCTTAGTTGGCAACGAACGTCAGACGTGACATTTTGCAAATTCCGTTTTCAGCATTTTGTAATCGTTCTCGCATACGTGGCCCACCAGAAGAGAGAGGGGATTCCCTGTGTAGCCACCGAAGCTCCTGATGCGGTGCTGTTGGTGACACTTGCTCAGGTTGAACAAATTGCAGGAGGTGCATGAGTGCGAAGTGGGTTGTAAGTGGTTTGGTAGTGGTTTCCGATTTTTCACTGGCTCTACCACTGCTGAGGGTATCATCCCTAAAGGCTCAAAGAGGACATATGCAGTTCAATTCTGTTTTAAAGGATGTTCTACAAAAAAGCTGTTCAATTTATGATTTCCTATTAAAAATACAGATTTGGCTTCGCTCCAAACCAAATAGTAAACAAATAATTATAGAGAAAGCATAGAAGCTCTAAGGCAACTCTCTTCGATGGCTTCTTATTAACATTTTCTTAAAGTTCACCTGAAGATTCCGTTAAATAAACTTTGAATCTCAGAAAGTTGTGTTAATTAAACCCATTAAAATGTTCAGGATGTTCGCCTTGTCGGGATCAGGTTTCCTCTTTTACTGTGATTATTAACATAATTTCTATAAATAACTTTCTTTGCGGCACACCACCGGAGCTAAGCCCTTGACGTCATCGGACTTCTGTTGAAGAAATTGTAAGCCGCTGGCTGCATGTTGGCAAACACTCGCATACGTTGCACACAGTGTGCCCTCCTCCCCGCTCTCTAATGATGATCCCAAAAGTCAACTTGCTAAAGTAACAAGAGCCCGAGCATCCGCATACATCCGCACACGCTGAGACAGCGGAGCCATAAGCACACAGTGGTATTAACGCCATAATTCGTAAGTTACACACACACAGGCGCCGCAAAAGGGATTAAGCTATATTAAAGTTGTGAGCGCTGCACATCGAGTTCGCCTCCTTGCGGCCCGGCCAAAGGAATACGTACAGGATCTTCGCCGGCATAAAGAACCCGACCGCCCGCCCGACCGAAAAGTCCGAAAAGTGTACTATGCAAATTTCGACTGACCCACATTTATATAATAATAATATTCGGAACGCCGGGCACGCTTTAAATGCAATATATGGCATAAGTTTACGCATCGCAATCAACTCTTGCAAAAAATGGTCTCCTTGTCCGGTATAAATTTGCCATATTTTTTATATGGTTGCAGTCGTTGGAATTTTTTTCAGCAACTTACAGGTCAAGTGTTAATTTTATTCTCTCTTTTATATTTTCTCTTCGTTGCTATTGCGCGGATGTTAACTTTTAGGAAAATTTTAATTTAAAAAATTCATTCATAGTGACTGTGAGCATTTATTTTTCGAAATAAAAGAAAAAACAAGAAAGAAAGCTAACTTTGGCCAGCCAAAGTTTGTATACCCTTGCAGGTAACAATTAAAATATATCATAACTAAGCCAAAAATGCATTAATTTCGATTCGGAAAGCAGTTTTGTGTTAGTTTTTATTACTTTAAACAAACTGCATACCAAATTTAAAATTGTAAGAAATCAAAATTTTTGGCCATTTTTGCTAATTTTAATGATGTAACCCCTTATCAAATTTCGCAAAAATGGCAAAAAAATCGATTTCTTCCGGACATGTCTAGAAAGATTTCCCTGTTGATGCTGATCAAGAATATATATGGTTTATGGGGTCGGAAATGATTCCTTGACTTAGAAAAATATTATTTTGTATTATATAATCGGATTTTTTATATTAAAAAACTTCTTGATTTTTTTTTAAATTAAAAATGTCATAACTCGGGCAAAATAGCATTAATTTTAAATCGGAAAACTGTTCTATGCAAGATTTTCTACAGTTAATAAATCTGCATACTTCATTTAAAAATTTTGAAAATTTAATTTTTTATCAAAATAAAAAATTTTAATGATGTAACCCCTTATAAAATTTTGCAAATATGGCAAAAAAATCGATTTCTTCCTGGCATATCTAGAAAGATTCCCCTGTTGATGCTGATCAAGAATATATATGGTTTATAGGGTCGGAAACGTCTCCTTCACTGCGTTGCAAACATCTGACTGAAATTATAATACCCTGCAAGGGTATAATAAGCAGAGAACTACTTCATAAAAAGGGGCATTTAAACAGACAGAATGTGATTGTCTTGCTTTTAGGTTTCCTATGGCGTTAGGGTTTACTTATTCTAATTAATTACAGGGGAACAACACAAGATTTAATAGGTGCATTCCTCTCTCATTAACCCAAAGTCATGCACTTTCTGTCTGGAATCCAATGGTGATTGTGCGTACTTATCGTGTCTGATTAGATTGGATGTTTGGGTTCAGCTACCAAGGAGCATTCTAGCAAATTTAATCCACAACCTGTCATATAAAATTCACGTTGCTGTTGCTTTTTAACACTTTGCCAAAATATGCTTTACGACCCCAGCGTGTCTAATAAAACTTATATGTCTGGGAGCCATAAAAACCCACGTAGCAGCACAATTCCATACCGAATGGCATACGAATCTTAGGCCAGACCGTTCGGAGAGTCAACTTGTTGAAGTGTTTATTGTTTAGAATCCCGCGGCGTCGGCATCGAAATACATAAAACATTTTTGTTGTAAATAAAATATACGCAGAATAACCTTTTCAGCTTCAACAAGATTGCGGAGGCTTCTTGGAAATTTGATACTTGTTTTAAGTCGCAAATGGTTTCTGGGAAAAGACAGCTCTTGAATTTTACAATTAAATGAGGAGATCCTGTTATTTAAGGATTCTTAACATTGTAGAGCTTTCTTGTATTTAGTAATTATCTTGTTAAATCAGAAACAAAATCAAAGCTTCAGGTGTCAAAAACTGCCAGATATTACCCGTGCACACTTATATTTTGAACCCAAGAATGGAGCAAAAAGGTAAGGATGGTAGCCAAATCCGACACACTTCTCGCACCGCGCGAACGTCACGGCGGGTGCGGCAGACCTTACAGAGCAGGGAGACCATCGAAGAGGAACCAGTGGAACAACCACCAGAAAGGAAGATCATTCAGCAGCGCGTGTTCCTCTACATCCAGTTGAACGAGCTCTTGAAGCTGCCGGACACTGGCTATCCGCTGGAGCTGCACCTGTACCATGCGAAGAGTACGCTGCAGAAGATGCAGGAGCGGTACACCACCAAGACGATAATCTATCAGAAGGAGTTCAATCTTAAGAAGCCGGTTTTTACCTTGGGGGTGATGCAAGATGACATCGAGGACATGAACACGTTCAGTGACAATCCGCTGCTGGTTTCGCTCTACCAGCGTATTCCCAGGCACCGTAAAGGTGACTCCAACAGGACCAAGATGAGCCAACTGGGAACTTCCTCCTCGTTCACAGATGCCTCACAGAGCAGTGCTACAAAGAAGTCCAAGAGATCGCGCAGGTCAGGTAAAAAGAGTTCCGATATTTTGCTATTATGGGAGGAGGAGGGCGAGGGCGAGGAAGGCGAATATGTGGAGGAGCGTCTGGAACTACTATCCAGGGGCCACTGCGATCTGCTGCAGCTTTTCCAGCGGCGGCGCTTCATTAGCGACATCAATATCCTACTGTATCCAATGCACCATGTACCGGAGCAGAAGACATTTAGAGAATTGATCACCTCCACCACCGTTTGGCATATGTACTCCATCCTGCCCATCCTCAAGAATTTTGACTTCACCAACCTGGCCTTTGTGACCCTGGAGTCGATCTACAATGTGCCTGAGGAGTTGCACATGCAGTCCACTGACCTGGGCCTGAGCGTGTCCTTTCGATCGACGCAGCTGGAGGGAGAGGAGGACGTCCTCAGGATTATTCCTCTGTGCACTTTTAAGGGATTCGGTTCGCAGGTCATTAGCGACCAGAACACGAGCATCGTTTGGGAGAACCTCAAGCGGGATCTGAACCCCCACGTGCACTTTGGCTTCAACCAAATGGAGACCAACTCGCGGATCAAGCTGCCTCGCCTCTTTCGGATGCTGCTGTGGGAGCAGGATGTCGACTTCTTCATCAATCAGATCGATCCTTTGACGACGATGGCGCTCATCAACAACTCCCTGCACCGCTTTGTCATTAACGAGGAGATGCGAAAGATCCTAGAAGAATCTGTGCTTAATAACTCCTATGAGCTGCTGCTGCAACTGTACAAGGACACACCCCACAATGTCCTGTACGAGGGCGTGATCAATCCAAGTATCTTTGGCTATCCAGGCGGTGAGTGAAAAAAATATAAACATCAGAAAAGTTAAAAAAAATTACTTACCTCTCCCCAGTCAATCATTGCCGATTTGCAACCCGCTTGAGCCCAGTTAACGTACCCGAAGTCGATCTTCGTCCAACACTGGAAGCCACTCCAATGGGCCCGATGTTTTGCACCCTCAAGATCTGTTTCTTTCAGCCGATTTGCCAACGCAACGATCCCCTAGATAAGTACAACGAGAATCTACTGAAAAGGAGCAAGCTGCGGGGTTGCTTTGATATCCAGCTCCTTAAGGAGGACGAGAACGATACAGATGTGCTCACGGAGCTATACCAGGAGTTTGACAAGCTCATCTCCGACACGATTGGGATTATCGTGAAGAAGGATGTACGCAGCATCGAGGAGAAGCAGGACTTTTTCTGCTGTCTGCTGAGCACCCTAAGCAACCTGATGCTGAAAATATGTGGCTGTGACTTCAACATTCGAATGCCAACGGAAACGAACATTGAGTTTAGGGTGGGTATAGGACGTATTTAAATATGTATTTATAATTATAATATTACTCCTTTTTAAGGAAATGCTGACACACATGTACAAGGAGTTGATAGACCGTGTTTATGGTATCTTCACTGCCTGCTGCTATGAAGGTTTTCCCAGCGGTCTGCCCGCCAAGGATAAAGATCTAATCCGGCTAATGGACGAAATGCGCCTGTTGAGCAACACTGGCCAGCGGGATCTGGCCATTCATATGTACGAAGAGATTGACAGAAGCGCCACCAACCGAGTCATCTTCGGCTTTGCAACTCTGATCAATAGTGTAGAAAACCTACAGTTCCAGCAGGCGGCGACCTTTTTTACCAAGCCGAGGCGCACCGAGTGGAGAGGAGAATACTTTACGTGAGTGTGATTTCAGAAAGAGAAATAGTTGTAAAATAAAATATTTCTCTTCATAGCACAGCTTGCTGGTACAGCTATATGTGGACTACATGATGGATATGGGTTCTGAAGACGAGGAGATCTCGACTGCGGCGTTTTCGAATATGCTTGATAAGCTGCGCCAGCTTGCCACAAAGAAAAAGCTGGAAGTGGGTCCGTGGATTCTGCTATACTGCTATTATAAGCTGGCACATTACCGCCCAGGAATGGACTTCACACGCTGGAAATTCGAGAATCTATATGAGGTTTCTGGAGAGCAGCTCGACTTCCTTCCCCTCTCCCTCTACGAACTGTACCTGCCAGTGGACTTTGAGATGAGCACTACCAGCACCTTGGCAAACACCAAGTTCTACCCCGTTTTCAAGCTCTTTGCTCGCTTGGGTGCATACGTCTTTGCGGGGATTGTGTTCACCGATTTTGAGCAGTGCTTCACAACAGTCGAGGTTTATCTCATAAAGACCACTTTAAAGATACTGCAGCGACAGATTGATGACAACTTCAAGATACAGGAAATTCCCACGGATAAAAGCGAGAACGGAATGTTGATGGTGAGTTTACTGCGATTTGATCAGTTATAGTTGATTAATTTCTTATTTATTTATTAGCGGAACTATCAACTGCACATCAATGGCAATGCTGAGTACACCCGAGGACGCTGCGACGAAGCCCTAAAGTACTTTGAGAAGCTGCTGAATGGAACCAAACCGGAGGACAGGCCTTTTTTCAAGCTGAGTTTCCTGCGCCTCGGACAATTGGCCTTCGAAAAGGGACTATACGAGTTGGCCATTAGTGCCTTTGACACATGTCTGCCAGCCTCCAAGAAAGAAAAAATGTTTCTGCCAAACTATTTCAAGGGACTGGCTCTATATCATGTAAGTAATTTCGAATAAACAAGATAAAGTGTTTATCAAGCATATATTATTTATAGCTGGATCGCCTGGAAGAAGCCATTCCCTTCTTGTCTCGCTGCACTGAGGTTGACGTTTTCATTCCGGATGTCTGGGGCTATTTGGCCACGATCAACCTGCGATTGAATCGTAATAAGACAGCCTTGGAGTGCTGGAAGATTGCAAAAATGGTAAGTAAATTTGGACACACACAATTAAAAATAATGTTGCTTTCCGGTCAAAGTACCCCGAACTAAACATCAGCCGCCAAATCTATGCAGAGCTGGACAAGATCAAGTTCTCGGATGTTCATCTGCTGGTCGATGATGATGGAAATCCCGCTGAAAAGATGGATAAACCCAATATATTTGGTTTGTAAAGCCACCCGAATATCTTGGGGGAAAGTGTTATTTGTGCCCCGCCAGGTAGAGCGTCCTAAGTAAACAAATCTGGAGTCACGCGTTTCATCAAGTTTTAGCCGCATTTATAACTAAAATTTAGAGCCCATTTTTAGCCAGAATTAAGTGTGGGCATACGCACAGCCTTGTGCGATATGTTAACAAGGCATTTGGGTCCTCAATGGCCTTCGCCTGCCTCGTCAAGCTGGCGCTTGTCAGAATTTTAGCCGCAGAGCGGCGGCGGCGATGGCGGTGGCACAAACGTGAATATGCCAACACAATGCATTTTTGGCCAAGGGCAAACCACCACACCAAATGCAAAAACAAAACCGACAGCAGCAACAGCAACAACGACAAAACAGAAACAAGTGAGATACGTAGTTAAACCCTTTTGGCCAACACTCAACCCATGACAGGTGTTTGCTCTGCAAAGCCTTTCAGAAGCATAGGGAATTTCGGGAATGGTTTGTAAATGAAATTTTAGCTTAAATATTATAGAGCTTCTTGGATTTGTAAGATTTCTTCAAATAGTGTTGGATTACTTTCTGGATTTTGAAGAGTAACTGTACGTTAATTTAAGTCCGGATATCATAAAATAAATTCAGTAATATACAATTTATTTAAATATGCTCTTGCCAACTTAATATTATTAAAGGTTTAAACCGTTCCTTAACCCGATCCTCTCAAGAGCATCCACTGTTCGTTATCCTGGACATCGGCCTGTGTTCTCCTGTTTTTGTTTACCAGGCAGCGAGTGCTCTAAAATCCGCTTTGACAGCTCGGCTGTCAGCTCAACTCAAACCGAGCCGGGAGGGTGTTGGTTGGGATGCGTGCTCTGGGAGTACGAGTAAGGGTGTGTGGCAAGGGGATGCTGTACACTTTTTTGCTTGTCTTGTTCGGGGCAGACCCTCAACTACATATGCTAATGACGAGGCAGCCGGCTGGGGATCGGAGGCGGTGGGGCAGCCACTCAGCTGGGGCTTTTGAGCTAGTTTAAGGCCAACAACTCTCGGCTACTGGGCACACACACGAACACCCTGGAAGACACACATTGGCTTCATCAAAATGAAATTTGTGAGCAAACACATAAAGTGAATCAAGTAAGCAAGCCAGGTAACTATGGGACACATGCTGCTAATGTTTTAAGACGGCTTTAAAATGCGTTTTAGTCGATGCCACACTAGCTCCATCCACATCACGCATACGCCGTGTGTGAACCGTGACCCGACGAAAGGAAGCTCTTGGCGCCCCGACGCAACAATATCAATTAGACAAATGCATTTACATACTCCGATTGCAGATGGCATTCGCAATACCTCCACTCCCCGCCGAAACAACAATTGCAATTTAATGTGCTGGCTGCACGCGGTAATGATAATGTTGTTATGTGCCTATTATGGCTGTTGTTTGTGGGCTCTGCGGCGTCTGCTGGGCTCCACGAGGTCTGAGAGGGCCCGACTTGCGCCCGGCTGCGAACACATGTCATTAGCATTTGCATTATGCGAATTTTGCTGTCTGACAGCACTCAAAGTGATGCAGTTAGGCGACTGCACCCGAGGGGGAACATCCGTCCGAAAACACCAAATAAAATTAAAGCTGGACGCCAATACAAAGCAAAACGGATATATAGATATAAATGCAAAGATAGCAAAGTGATACACTCTCAGTGCTCTTATATTTCCGAATGAAATATTTTAAGTTTGTCTAATTACATTGTATTATTAAGCCCGAAAATCGCATACAAAGCAAATAATAATTTCAAAGAAACATTAGACTCCAAAATAACACATAATGTTTCCAGTTTTACCAGACATAATCCTGTTAACAGTTTAAAGTGCCCTAGTTTGCATATACCCTTCACTAGCTCAAAATATTAATCCATATGAATTTCATATGCCCAAATTCCGAAACAAGGCCGAATGCCAAGCTTGGGGCAACCTTGGTTAGACGAAAGGATGCAGAGTGTGTGGCTCGGTAACCTTAAGCAATTTCTGATCAAAATATGCGATGGACAGGCTAATATGCAAATACCACCTAAGCAGCTCAGACGCAAAGCAGCTCAAGTTAATACCGAAATAGCTCAGCCACCGCACATATCTCCAGCTCCGGCTAATAGCACGGCCACTGTGAAAAAGTACAACAATAAAAATGTAGATGGGATACGATAGGAGTGCTCGGCAAAAACTACAACAGCTGCCTGAGCCGCTGGAAAGTATGCAAAAGATATCGCCTGGAATTAAGTTGGCAAAGAGCTAACGTGAAATTTACACCAGAATGGCCATGGATTTGGGGCAGGAGCAAGGAGAGGAAATGTTTGCCCGGGTGTGACATGAAAATTTCATTTGAAATTGAATATGAAAAAAGCGTCGCTCGTGTGCGCCGCCTGTGCGACAGCTGCTGCAATTGACAATTATTATTATTGTCAGTGCGAATGAAAGGCAGTCGCCGTGCCGTGGTCGGGGGTTTTTCGGGGATTGGTTGGTATTCATACTCGCATGACACCCGTGTAGCTCATAACCGAGCCCCGAAAATGCCTCGACATCCGTCGGCTTCAATAAAATTCAATGGTCGCATTAAAATCATTTAAATTCTATTGTTTTGTTTGCTTTTTTCTTGGGGTTTTTCGGATTGTCATGTATTTTCTTAACGACACACACCACGAATGGGGTGGAGTGCTGTGGCACACACACACGACTGACGCCGCATAAGCTGCTTTCGCTGCGGATTTAGGCGATATCAGCAAATGCATATTTAATGGCCCTCCGATCAATACGATATGCGTGCCAAACTCCCCCCGATTCGCGCTTCCGATTAATGCAATTTAAGTGCTAAAGCGGGCGTTTGTTTAAGGCTTTAAGGGGGTTTTACAGAACCAATACAGAATATTTTGTTTATTTCTTTCTAATAAAATCAGTTACCTTAAATTCAGCAAGCATAAAATTTAAATATCGCAGGGTTTAGGAGATTTTTCTTACCTCTTATTACATGTTTACCCCCGATATAGCGCACATTTTTGACTGAAACACTCTTAATCGAATTCAAAAACCCAAAATGAAATCGTTGGCGTCACTTTAAAATCATAACAGCCAAAACGGAGTGGCACCTTCTGTCAGCTGCCTTTATCCTGGCCCCCCCTTTTGCCCTTACATCCTCTGTGTGATGTTTGCAAATTCTCAACTTGCGAAAAAATCGCGAGAACGAAACACGTTGAATGTGCACAGCACGCATTTGCGATACTGAGAAGGGGTAAAGGACTTTTGGCTTTGGCAAGGATCTGTCTTTTTTGCATAATGCCAGGCAGTCAGCACCTCACACCCACCCACAACACACACACCGCACTTACTTGCCATATTGTTGGAGCGAAGAATAAGTCAGCGGTTTTCATTTTACAATTTGATAGCCGAACGGGAATTTTCTGCTGACAGCAGACGGAGCGCAGGCGTATCGCTTGAGAAAGCTATGGCAAAAGGATTTCCACTTTTGTCCCGTTGATTTGTTTGTTGATTTACGTAAGTAGCGTTTGAGGGGCGTGGCCAGGTCCTAAATCCCTTTGGTGGGGCTTTATGGGGAAGTTGTTTTTCACATTTGTCGCATTTATAAATTATTTAAAGTGGCAAAGCGCCAGCTCGCTCAGCTTGGCCTGATGAATGTGTGCGCTGACCATCATTGACCCCGTGACCCCAAAAGCAGTGGCATGTATATATGTAGGCAAACACTAGCCACTCGAGCACAAACTACTTTGAAAAATACCCTACACAGGACGAACAATTTCACATTTTAAAGTTAAAAAAGTTACTAAGGTTTACGTTTAAAAATTGCGCATACGCCATGTAAGTTCATAGTCCTAACTTAGACTTGCTTATCTATTTACTGTCTCTTTCTGTATTTTTTTTTAGAATTTTAAACTTTATTTAATATATTTTTTAAGTCACCGATTGGTGTTTTCTCCAAGTGCACACACAAGCAGATGGACCAGTGACATGAGCGACCATAAACAGTGGCTAAACAAGGTGCTTAAATTATGCCACAAGATCTGAAAAGCGACTGTAAATAACAAGCCGGACCAGGCTCTGCCACCGGCCCACATCCTGCCGCCCTTCGCCTCTGTAGAAGCATGCATTCATATTTATGGTTGTCTATCTGGGGCTCCCGCTGCCGCTCCCTTGGCCCAGCTGACAAGGCCACAGGCTGTAGTGTGCACCCTTGCCGCACTTCCAGCTGATCCTGCTCCTGGCCTGCTGCTGGTTGTTGTTGGCCTCATGGCTGGATGACTTTGGTTTTGAGAAATCAACGCGTACATATGTGCAATGTAGGTGCGGACGCTGTGTGTGTGTGTGGTGTTGTGGGTGTGTGCTATTTGCCCCAGTGTTTGTGTTTGCTCAGCGCTACTCAGCTGCTTGCTGTTTGCACATACAGTGGGGAGCAAAAATGATTCCACGATCAACGTTTTCATGTTTGAGCGCACATAAAAATTAAACGAATAAAGTAAATGACAAAAACTTTTTTTTTATTGAACACCTTGTTTATTGTTTACAATTAGGCATACGTAGCAAAATTGTAGATGAAGACATTAAATTATTATAATTAAAAAACCAAATCAAGCGGCATGTACTCAGTTTTGCACCATTGAAGAAAAAATACAAAATAAATTCATTATTAATATTTTGTTCAGAGAAACTTATTTTCTTTGACTTTTTTATACGTTTTGGCATACTCTCAACTAGTTTTTCTACAATTCCTTTCGTAATATTATTCCACTCTAAGTGTACACGCCCCCAAAGAACGTCCAAGTTGGATGGGCTTGATTGGTACTGCCCGAGCCGTCGCTTTATGATTGACAATGGGTTTTCAATCGGATTGAGGTCGGGACTTTGCGCTGGCCCCTCCATCATCCTAAAATTTTGGTTTCCGAGCCATTTTTTAACTATTTTCGCTGTGTGCTTGGGATCCCCACCTAGCTGAAAAGTGATTTCCGGCTCTGGGTTCGCACACTGGTCAAGAAAATTAGGAGGATGGGTTTGCAAAATGTTCAAATAATCATCCTTTCTCATAATCCCTTCATTTTTGAGCAACTGTCCAACGTGAAACAGCCCCATGCCATTATGTTGCCGCCTCCATGTTTCACTGTTTGCTTCACATGATGCCTTTGAAACTTGTCACCAGGTCTCCGCCAACAATATTGTTTTCCATCCGACTGAAAACGATTAAACTTAGATTCTTCCGACCAGATAATACGTTTCCAGTCTTCTGTTGTCCAGTTCTTGTGTTCCTTAGCGAATTTTACCCGAGCCTTAACCTTTTTCTCGGATAAAGCTGGTTAGTTTTTTTTCATTGCTGGCTCGTAACCAATCCTACCTAGCGCTCTTCTAGCTATCCATCGTCTTACGCCTTTACTTATTTCAGTATAAGCTTATTTTGGCGTTAAAAGTCAATTTTTTCTTATTTTAGACATCATAAGTCGAGCGTCAGCATCTGTTAAAAGGCGCGGTGACCATTCAACTTCCTTTAAGGACAAACATTGTGTCTTTTCTGCAACATATTTATTAATTTTTAGCTTCTCATCAATAGTGCGTGTCGAAC